CGCCCCCCGGCCCAGCCGCGGCGGGCAGAGCTCAGGTCGAAACCCTCCGTCGGAGTTCGGGGAGGCGGCGGGCACCGAACCAGCCCGGCGTGGGCTCCATTAAAAGTTTTGTTTAGGCCAAGCAGCAGCGGGCAACCTCACCCCGGGGAAGGGAGCCCACGCCGCTCCTCGCAGCACTGTATGCCTACTCACGGTGGTTGCCCAGTCCCCAGCCTCGACCCCCGCGACGGGGAGGAAACATGCTCGGCTGAGAGGTCCCGCGAAACCAACACAGCACGGGCGGCGAAGCCCGGGCTTTCACGTGCTCCTGCTTCCACAAGCGCCAGCTTATCCACAGCAGTTACATCCACCCACGGATGTTATTATGTTTATACACACCTTTGAGACTTTAATTAACGTTACACTCTGTGCGGAGTGAAAAAATACTCCATGGAGATTGTGTCACCCAGCAAATACAGATGGGCATCGAACAATCATCAACTCCACTGTTTTACATTCTGTAAGCGGTATGTTGTAAAACACTCACAGAATAGAAAACTAAGGCTGCACTACTAGAGCAACAATGCAGTAAAAAAGAATGTCATACTTAGATGTAGTTCAGTAAGAGGAGTGAGGAGCTCAAAAAAAAAAAAAAAAGCAAAAGCAAACTACAAGGAAGCCCTCTACAACTTTGGAACCTAAAATGGTTTCACAACACATGATCATACTAGCCATCTGTTGTTTGAGGAAAGGTTTTAAAATACAGGTCCCAAAGGCAAAAAAAAAAAAAGGCTGATTTCACTGCACAGATGAGGTTAGAGCTGCTTGATACTTCTAGTTAAGAAACATCACTTTTTTTTTTTCTTCTTAATTTTGCCTTTAGCCACTGCAAGATTACTGGCTTTCAATAGAGAGACACAAGATGATGGTTTCCTTTAGTGATCCTGTAAGTGAATTGATTTTGGGCCTTTACCTGGTACCTATGGATGAGTTGGCAGCTTTTAGGCATTACTCCTGAAGAACAAAGA